CATATGACGGTGAGATGTATAGAATTCTAACCAATTGGCTTGCAAAAGTACATAGATATGAAATAACTGGTCAGTGGTATCTGGATAGAATTTGTGATGATAGCGGCTATCATCATTTTTATTGCGATTTAACGATAAAAGAAGCTGATATCACCAATCCTATCGCAGTTATAGAAATTCTAGCCAGCGGTTCTGTTCCTAAAATAAAGAAACATTTTGATTAGGTTTCGAAGTATGCTAATCAGCTCTGCCCTAAAAAAGTTTGGATTATACATTTTTCCAGGAAAGATTCTATAGTGACGAGGCCTAATCAGGAGAAAAGATTAAATGTCATACACTTTTGGCATAATATGGATTTTAAAAATATTAGAATGAGTGCTAAGTTCCGAGATGCCACTAGCAAGTATTGTGAGATCATAGATGAGTTAATTCTATAAAAGTATAGAGATATTTTTGGGCTGGAGTAGGGTAGAAGACTTTTGTATGGTCTACAATATTTGGGTGATGTTCAGCTCCTGTCCCTGTAATTAGATAATTCTTAAACAATTCTGCCTCTGTAAAAATTTATTAATCTGAAATTCGATAATTAAAATAGACTATTAATATGATAATAAAATGGTTAACATAATAAATGTGGCAGATTAAAATAAAATAAGAGATAGTATAAAATAGAAAAGTCACCAAAAAATACAATGTTTGGGGTATATTTTTTTTTAGCATTTTTTTAAAGTTAGGATTAGGGTTTAGAAGCAGGTTTTATAATAAACAAATATAAGTGGGTTTTAGAGGGTCAAGTAGAAACCCCTCGTTTCATTTGTTAATAAATATAATAAATAAATGATGCTTAACAAAAACTAATTAAAAGGTTAATAGTTTATTGTATTGATACAAAAATATAAAAGAATTTATACATCTGAACAAAAGGCAGCAAGAAATGACGCTAGAAGCTTCTATAGAACAGCTAAGCTACCAAAATAATGGGTCAGCAAAAAGACAAGATTGGTACAAACGTCAAACAAATATTGCTAAAAAAATTACAAATCCAAGTGATGAACGTAATATTTATTTATATCTTTAAATTCTAATACATGACTATTTTTATTAACTAACCTTTTTTAGAGAACTAAAATATTTTATCGTTACTACTTGCAGTCTTTGATATTTTCTGAAATTCACTTAACCAATTTAAAGCATCTTCTTTGCTGTTAAGATCTACATATAAAACTATATTAATCTGCCTAATATTTATTTTTTTCAGATATAACTATTGGTTCGAGTATAATTTTCAATTTTATAATATATTGTGTAAAAAATTTTTTTTGAATTAAAGTAGGCAAATCAGCAAAACTGAACAAATCGGTTTTTATTTTTATTTTTTTTTATTTTATTATTTCTTTTATTTATATGAAGCAAAATATGAACCGAAATGTGAAACAAGCGAAGTGTGAAGCGAATTGTGAAGCGAAATATGAAGAAAAAAATATGTAGTAAGATATGTAGTGAAATATGAAGCGAAATATGAAATAAATTAATAAAACAAAAAAGACAATTAGCCTTTAAAATTACTATTACTGTATTAGTATAGTGATAGTTTATTTAATTGATAATCATTTGGCTTGATTTCCGGACAATCACATGATTATCCAGAGCACAACCTGGTACACATTTTCGATATGCCTAAAAAATTATTATTACGTTAGTGCAGAGACCTGTAAAATTTTAGATATAAAATTTTTACAAAAAATCTAAAATTTTTAACTCAAAGTTTCTAAAATTTTGAAATTCTTGAGAATTTATATTATATTATATATAGTTTGTGATACGTAGAGATACTGCGCAGGTAAAATATTTTGAATTTTAGAATATTTCAGAATTTTACAATTTTGGCCTATATTAGCTATAATGTGGGCATATGCAGGCTGCACAGCCTGCGCAGAAAATTTTTGATTTGCCTATCTCTAGTGATACAAATTTTATTTTTAATAATAAAAATTTTATACAAACTTATTTAACTTCTAAGACATATATACAGTACATGACTAGTTTGTATTGGATATTGATATCGTGATCTAGAGACATAAATTTATATGACTTAATGCGATTTAATTTCAATTATTTTTATATTTGGTCAGGATTGCAATAAATTAAATTACAAACTTGCATTCTTATAATAATGTTTTTCAAAACAATC